TATAATTTTATTTCAATACACTGGCACTAACCAGAGCGCCTAAAAAAATTCATAAAAACATGCCTTCTTTTGACCGAATTAACTATACCCCTCCCTTTAGGCGACGTAAATAAACAATATTAAATCTCATTAGACTGTATCTGTGAGAAATACAACCCACAGAAATCAATGCCTTAATTAAATGGTCTAAAGCTGGATCTTAAGTGTCTGCTTGTATAATTCTATGTAAATTTATATAAGGTAAAATCACTAAATGTCGATCAGACACTAGTTCCAGATCACTTTTTATATTTAAATAATTATAGTATTTTCCATTAAATGGTACACATCACAAAATTCTTTAGCATTTATTTTATTTCTTTTAAGTGTCAATTGTATTTAATTTATTAGGAACAGTGCTACACATTTTATTGATGTCGTTAAATGTGCGCGGTTAACTAACGTATGTATTTTTAAAAATTCATTCAAATATAATATAATGTAATATCATGAGAATTGCCTTACGGCTTCTATAATAGATAGTAAATAGAGTTCGACCGAAACTTTTGCCGAAACTAAACCGAAACACTCGGTTACATGTCAATTTCCATCGAAATACAAACCAAAATTAAAAAATAGGAATCCTATAAAGGCCATATGTGTAGACATATCTATATATCATATACTTTTTTTTTCATCAATATCATAATTTATTGAAACGATAATTAAATTTCTGCTGAGATCGAAAATCGAAATTTCGAATGTCTTTATGATCAATCGTGACTATTAGGCCCTGCTCACAATGGAGGAAATATTAGGAACAGGAATAGATATTAAGATTTCAACCTATCAGAATCCGTGTATTCCGGTGTAACTGGTATCTGATAGGTTGAAATCTTAATATCTATTCCTGTTCCTAATATTTCCTCCATTGTGAGCAGGGCCTAATAGTCACGATTGATCATAAAGACATTCGAAATTTCGGTTTTCGATTTCAGCAGAAATTTAATTATTTGATATTGTTCTGGATAAAAATATAAATTTTTTTTTAAGTGATCCACAACTAATGGTTTTATTTTACTATGTATTGTAGTCCTCTAAAATGTGCGCCGAAATTAGTTTTACAATTAGAACGATCTTAATAATGCTGAATGACATATTAAAATCTGTAAATAAGTAATTCTTATTGCGAAAAATATTACCTCGGTCAGGAATCGAACCCGAATCTCTTGCATTCTGTGCGAGCGTCCTTTAGACTTCTGAGGTCTTAATAATATTTTTTGCAATAATTCGCATATGTAAACAACATCCATTTAGACGACGTAAATAAACAATATTAAATCTTATGCGTAATTTGCGAGAAACACAATCTATAGAAATCAATGCCTTAAATGGTTTAACTGTATCTTAAGTGCTTGTATAATTCTGTGATTATATACTACGTATGCAGTTCGTTAAAATGCGCGCCGAAATGATTTTTTGGTCTTCAAAACGAAAACTCTACTAAACTATCGCAGTAATATCACGAGTTAAATTGACTAGCAATTTAACAATTTGATGCTTTTCCGCATCTTAAAATGATCTTAATAATATTGAGTGATATATTAAAATCTGTAAATAATTTTTATTGAGAAAAATATTAAGTTCGTTGACGTAGTTATATAAATGTTTTCTTTGTAATCACTGATGAAGACTTTTTAAGTCGAAACGTTTGAGGTTTTTTAGCGTTATACGTATGTAATTAAAATTTTAATTTTATTAATTAACTATTATTGCTCGTTTATAATAAAAGCCTTGACGTTTTAATTTATTGCGAAAAATATTAACTCGGTATTTTAGTAGATTTAAGCTTTCAAAACTGAAAAATATATAAATTCACACAGAATTATACAAGCACTTAAGATCCAGCTAGATTGTTTCAAACATTAACATTAAAAAAATTTATCAAATATAAAAAGTACATTGTAATTTATAAAAAAGAAAATTCCGACCTTTAATATTATCGCACGAATCCATCGCAGCTGTTCATCGAGTAAAGCGAACTTCTTACATCAAAAAACGTTATACTTCTCGTTAGCTTCCCCACCGTCAGTCGACATACTAGTAGTCGATAATGTATCTTACGTTTTTCCCACAGCGATCTACGATCCAATCATGTCGATTAAATGATAGTTCGTACCTGAAAGTATGATATATTTAATACAGCGTAATATTTAATATAGCACATGGATATAGAAATCTGTAATTTATTATTTTTCTCAGCTTTGGACACAAAACACACCAGGAGCAGGTACATTAGCACGGATATTTCAATCGTGGAGAAGGAATTTTTATTTTGTGCAACTAATTCGTAGAAAATTGCATTTAACATAAACGCTTGCTTTATCAGTAAAAAAGAAGACCCCAGCATCCCCTTAATTTTCTACGAATTAGTTGCACAGAATAAAAATTCCTTCTCCACGATTGAAATATCCGTGCTAATGTACCTGCTCCTGATGTGTTTTGTGTCCAAAGCTGAGAAAAATAATAAATTACAGATTTCTGTATCCATGTGCTATTAGCTCACCAAACATTTATTTCGTGAAAAAATTATATGCACATTATATGCACATTATATGCTCGAAATTAGGGCAGGAGCATATGTAGAATAAAAAGACGAATACAGTCATATCTTTAGAATTGAGTTTTGATGCCTAAATAAAAAGATAATTGCATTCTACGAAATTGTGTGCCTAGCGCGTGAGAAATCGACGATGTACGACAGTTTAGACTGTTTAGCCATGAAACCGAGCAGTATTTTAGTTGATCTCTTTCTAAGAGATGGCGTTGCAATATATTAGATAAGGACAGATGAATGCGTATGAGCGAGACACAACGATATATAATCCTTTCTTAAAAAGGAGATGTTAAGTCGATAACTCGCATTTCTCGAAGTATTGTTGCCGCTTTTCCGCGGTGCTGATTGGTTCTCTCGCGTCGCTTACTTCCTGAGCAGCTGCCATCTAGATTTATCAGAGAGGCGCAACCGGTGTTATGCATTCTGATTCGCTGTTGCAATCTAACCAATTGCGTGACTTGGCAGCCATTTATAGTACCAGTGACATA